TTCTAAGCGCTTTGGCAATAATTATGCCCATGATGAGTGAGTTTTGTGGGCCACTTCCTCATTTTCAGGCACTCCCTGAACAAAATACAATAATAAGCCATAATAAAATAAAGTTGGTTCATTGGAGAAGACTCGCCTTTCCTAACAGATAGGCCATTAAAGGTAGATTGTGGTAGAGGATCAGCAAGCAACCATCATAAATGGATCATCAGGCAAATTAGCAAAGCATTTACTATTCAATGGTCAGAGAAAGTCCTTTCCAATAACTTTTCCTAATGCTGCCATAATTGGGGAAATATCTGCCGCTGAACAGATGTGCAGGTCATTATCCAAACGTGCACTCAGCTCTGCTAGCCGGGACTGACTGGGTGCCTTCTGCTAAGAGACTCTCCATGAAGTTTGGAGGTTCTGATTATGTGTGAGCGTTTCAGGTGGCTGAGTACTCTTTCCTCCTACGGCTGAGAGAGTTTGTAGAATAAACTGGAAAGGGTGGTGGTTAAGAGTATCTCCTCCAGGCTTATGTTTATAGAGCTCTCAGAAGCCTGCTTGTTATGGTTCTGACCTGACTTGTCCCTCCAAGGCTTATATGTAGAAGGCTTAATCCCCAGCTCATGGTACTATTGGAAGGCAGTGGAAACTCCAGGAAGTGGGGCCTAGTTGAAGGAAATAGGTCACTTGGGGCATTCTCTAGAAGGGGGTTATTTTATCCTGGGCCCCTCTCTGCCTCCTGTCTGCTATGAGGTGAACAGCTTTCCTCCACCATGCCATTCCACCATGATGTTCTGCCTCACCACAGGCCTGAAACTATGGAGCTAGTATAGTAGGGACTAAAACCTCTAAAACCATGAGCCAAAGTAAACTTTTCTCCCTTCAGGTTGTTTTCCTCACATATTTTGTTAAAGAGATGGAAAGTTGAAAAAAAATCATTTATTTGGTTTTTGAGATCTGGATAACATGAGGAAATATTTCCACCACTATAACTATGCCTTCAGGAGGGAGGTTTAGATGCACACTTTGTTTTTAACCTGTGGATAATTAGATAATTAGTATTACCTGAATATAATAATAATCATCACCCCCTTTACATTTTATCAAGCACCTCCACATATATAATTCATTTGATCTTCACATCAACTTTGGGGATAGATTATTCTCATTTTATAGCCTGATAAACTGGAGCTCCCAGAAGAATAAGCAACTCACCCAAAGTCAGACAGTGAGCTAACTGACAGTCTGAGATTTTAATGCTGCTTTTCCTATGACTGAAAGCACACCTCCTATCATGATCCCATCCAGTGCCCAGTTTGTCTTGCAGGCTGAAGACCTGTGCAGGTTGTCTCCTCCACAGCCTGCAAGCTCCAGCCAGTCAGGGACTGAACTAAATGTTTCTCCCATTCTGAATCACACCCAGCATCTGCCATGCTCTGCATGTTTGCATTAGAGGATTCTTCATGAATCTGGGTTAATTAAATACTTGTATTTAGGATGGAAATTGGGGGCTGTCAGCATCAAGAACAGTGCCTGCGACATGATATGTGGTCTGAATTGGAGAGTTGAAGGAGTAAACATACTAAAGAGCATCTGTGTGGGGGAAGCATGAAGTGAAAAGCGCAGAATGAGGTAGGAAGGGAAATTTGAATCAAGGTCAGCAGTGGCAAGGGAGTCAGTCCCGCCACATGAACAGAATGGACTTTTGGGGATTCAGACCATGGGAAGAGTCTAAGCTTCAGGCTTTCTACATGGCAAAGTTGGGAAAACTAGCAATGCTTGATTCTTTCAATTAACAGGAGAATGTTGGGGGCAGCCCCTCCATGTCCTGAAGTGGCCACTTAGAATTCTTTGGGTTTTGGACCTAGATGTCTTGGAAGTGATCTCATCAATCACCTCTATATCCACTTCCTCAACTTCTTATATTTTGTTATTTGAGTGCTCACCTTGTCTGTTGAAGAAGTGACAGATTGAAAAACAAAGCACCTGAGAAATATGAGCCATGGAGATTCCAGTAGGAGGCACCAGGAATTCGACTCATCATTTCCCTATTTCTATGGGGAGAAGCTAAAGGAAATTCCCTCAAATATTCCAGGCTTCTTAGTTTGCACAGGTGAAGCCTTTAGTCTTTGAGACAACCTGAAATTTGGTAATTCTATTGAGAATAGGTCATTCAGAGGCCAATAAATTATTTCTACAGCTACCCAGAGTTCTCATTAAGAAGTCCAAGAACTCCATGGCACATGGCATCAAAATCATGTGCACTGACTACAAATGTTAGCTGAAAGATGCTTCATGAACTACCTTGGACCATGTGTCCATGTTCTAGGACAGTATATACAGTCTCAATGCTTATCCTTTGTTTCCTCAATCATTGCAGCTCTCTTCTTAACTGGCTTAATGCCTTTTCTTCAGCCTCTGCCTGTTGCCTTTAATTCCTGATCTCTTTCCCACAGAATGTTCACTCTGGAGCAATCACTCAGTTCAATTTCCTGCATTTCTAGGCTCCTCGCTCTGACTTCATATTAGTTAGGGTTCACTATAGGAACAGATTTAATATAAAATATGCATGATATATAAAGGATTTACAAATAGACTTACAATGGCTGCCTACAAAGTCAGATGTAGAGGAATGTGAAAGGGCCATCTGTATGCTGGAGAGCCAAAGGATCCAGTCAAAAGTCAAAGGCCTGGAGCTCACCACAGTGTCTCATGTGAGTCTCTGTCAGGAAGCAGAAGGGTCAGTGCTGGAAGGCTGAAGAGTCTGCACTAGAAGCCTGGAGACAGATGTCCAAAGGTGATGGTGAAGACTGGAGCTTCTAAGAAGCAGAAATGAAACTTCCTTCTTTCCATTTTTATTCCATCCAGGCTACAAGTTTATAGGTTGGTGCCACCCACAGCCAGGGTAGGTCTTTCCTGCTCAGTAAATCAGTCATCCAGACATGCCAAGAACTGTGCTAGCCCAATCAGCCAGGCATTTTTAAAAAATTCAAGTTGGACACCACAGTTAACTGTCACAGTTAACCAAAACATGGTTCTTCCCTAAGGATGCTACTTCCTTTCCACTGGATGAACCCTGGAGGAGGTGTTGTCTCTTTCTTAAGTCCATCATTGCCATTTTCAGATTTTCATCTCAACAAAGCCTCTGTCTCTTATGAGTTGAGTCATAGGACTAAATAACTTTTATTTTTCCCAATTGTTTTCACTTACAGATTTCACTGTCACACACTGTATTTATTCTTATTTTCTGTGTTCTTGCTGCTCTGGTATTTGGGGCCTTGATCCTGGGGACACTGCCTTTCAGGACTAGGTAATGCTAGAGATAGACTTCTGTTTGAGTATAACTTTCATATGCAAACTAACCAACCCAGAGACTACATCCCCAACTACCTCCTTTATCAAACTCACACACCAAGCTAATATTTTTGCTGTTCTAAATGGTCCCACAGCTGGCCACCAGACAATTAGGGACTGGCACTATAATCCAAAATTATTCAAATTATCTAATAGTCTTAGTTTATCAACCCTGCCTCATCGATTCCTTTTTATGAAATCCTCAATAAAGATTTTGGGCTATGCCTCACGCTCTCCCTCCTCTCCCCCTTAATTATTCTGGGACCTTCTCATGTGGCCCTGAGTGACATGCTATGCCTCTTGTTCCCATGGATGTTAATCAAAATATGAAAAAAATGCTTAAGGATATGAAAATGTTAACTACTCAATTTTATCAGTATACCTTGTACATATTGAATTGTGACACAGTACTCTATAAAAATACATGATTAAAATAATAATTAAAAAACTTCTTCCTTCATGAGCATCCTTTCCATGTCTGCTTTCTTAATGCTGCTCTTATTAAAATGTTTCCTGGGTACATTTTGAACATGTACACACTCACGTGGGCTTCAGTCTGTCCTATTCCTTCCTTCTACTTTAACTCCACCATCATCGGGAGTATGTCCTACAAGAGGAGGAGTAAATGGATAAATGTGTGTCTTGGTTACAGCTGTGGCTGTGAACTGATTTAGATAAGTCATATCACATGTCTGAGACTGTTTCTTCATATGTGGAATGGGACAACAACACCCACCCTATAGTACCGACAAACATATAAGGTTGAACAAATATATAAAGCTCACAGAACCTGGAGCAGGGCTATAGTAAGTGGCATTAGTTTCCTTTCTCTTTCTCCCTGTTGTTACCTGAGGACATTGGATGGAGTGTGAGTTCCTGGCAGGAATCCTATGAATCCAAGAATTTTTTCTTTTGCCTCAGTTTCCAACCATCAGTCACTGTCATCCCTCACATGGTAGAAACTGCTGAAAAGAAAGAAGATACTGACTTAGTAGGCCCAGAGGCCCAACCTGATTCCTCAGAAAATTATGTTTCCACTACTTTTCCTTCTCCCATCTGAAGGGGCCATAGGATGATGCAAGGAGACCCCTGAGACTGTGATTTCTAGGATGGACACTAGGCCACCTGGGCCACAGCCAGGAGGGCCTAGTAGAGTAGGAAGTGTTTCTCAGTAGTCTCAAAAGATGGAGAAGGAGGAGAAATTAAATCCTCTCCAGGCTTTTATTTCTTTAGAGCGATACAATTCATTAGTCAGAGTATACAAGTTAACATTCAGTTCTCTCCTCTCCCCAAGTAGGGTCTCCACTTTCAAGGGGGCTTGAGGAGAGGACGGTGGTCCTTTCATCCCCTTTGTGTGGTCTGGGTCTGTAAGTATTTAAACTCTGCCCAGGATCTGGATGGGGAGCCAGCCTTGAGGATATGACTGGGTGTTAAAACTGCTGATCAACTGGTCGCTGTACCAGAATACTGAGAATGTCTGAATTCAGTGGACACTGATCAATTAGCAAATGGTGCTGTGTGCACAGCTCTGCTCAGAGTGCTATTAGAAATAGAGAATAAAAGGAAGCACGGGACCTCCCCACTTCCTTCAGTAGTTTCTTGCCTCATTGAGGAGACAGACTTAGTAAGTTAAACAACTGTATGTTACATATTCACAGGGCAAATCACAACACGTTTCATGTGCGGTCATATCTGAAGTAGAGGAGCATGTGAAGGAATTCCTGAGAAAACCTCCAGGCAGGAGTTGAGAAGGAGAATGCTTGAGAAGGAAGCGGTCATCCCAGGGTGCGTTGAAGTCTGACGGAAGGTACAATACCACTCATTGAGAATTTATAATGGGCTAGGCCCAACAATAGTTCTTTAGACAGTCTTTCACTTACAAAAACTTTGTGAGATAGTTGCTTCATTATTTTCATCCCACTTTGAAATGAGGAAGTGGAGATACAGAAAACTGCTCATGGTTATGAGGCTCAGAAGGGAAAGGAGGCAACTGGCTCTAGAATCCACATTAATTACCTTGCACTGTACTTCTAGATCAAGACTTTCAATATTGCCTGTATATTTAAGTCACCAGAGGTTTGTCCACAGTTCTAGAGATTGATTTAATTAGTCTAAGGTGAAGGTGAGGTATGGGTGTAGAAATACAGCACTTTGTTTCTTTTGTTTTTTCAATAAGTTTATTGGTACATTTTAGGTATACAATACAGTTACATTCATCTTTGGGATCCTGTATCTTGGTTCTTGTTTTTTCCCCATTCTTCTGCCCTCCCTTCACCCCCACCTCCCTTCCCTATTTACAAAGACTTCCTTTCCATTTTTTTCCTTTGCTCATATTTTTCGTTTCCTTTTTCTTTCCCCTACCTCTCCCACTTCCCCTACTCGTTCAAAACTTTCCTTCTTATTTCACAATATCAATTATATATTTTGATCCTTATTTACACTTTTAGTTTTTCACACCAGAGAAACTATTTGGTATTTACACATGTGTGTCTTATTTATTTCACTTAAGAGTATGGCCTCAATGTGCATCCACTTAGCTATAAATGTCTCTAGTTTCTCCTTCTTTA